CTTTATTGTCCCAATAAGGTGGCATCCATTTAATAATTTGAATTATAATTTACACTCAATACATTATTATTGCGTACTGTTTTATAATGTACTACAATACTGAGGTGCAGATAATTGCTACTATTTGCAATAAGTATAAATAGCAGAAAATCTTGCTGTTTTAACATAGTGTAAATAGAATCCATTGCTATTTGCACTTAGTGTAAATAGTATCTATCACTAAGAAAATATGCTATTTGCACTAAGTTAGCACGATTACAAATGTTTACTGAACTGTTTTATAAAATCCATATCACATGAATTTAATTGTATCCTGTAGGGCTATATTAGAACATCTTTCGAAAAGAGTAGAGGTGTGACCATCATGGCCTCCTAACAATCCCCACATCTGCTGATTGGCTTCATCACTCTGTCTCCTCTCCACCAGTAAGCTGGTGTGTGTTCTGGCGCACTATGGCTGCCATTGCATCATCCAGGTGGATGCTGCACACTGGTGGTGGATGAGGAGATCCCCCTCACAATGTAGAGCACTTTGAGTGCCTAGAAAAGCACTATATGAATGTAATTAATTAATTAATTTATCATTTAGAAATAATTTGCCATTTCTCTGTTTGAACACTCCGTTTAAAAGTGTGTGTGCCTCCTTTAAGACTTTAATTTATATCCTTGCTGCTGTGATTGGCTTACATCTTTGCATGTTTATCACTGAACCATATTTGGTAACACTTTAGGATAGGGACCAATTTTCTCTATTAACTAGGTACTTATTATGCCTGTTATTAACATTGGCTTATAAAGCACATATTCTGCATGAGCATATTCTACATCCCTAATCCTACCCAATGTTTTCTAGTCAACAAGTAGTCGACTAATCACATGTTTATATTAATTTAATTGATTAAATATTTACTGGGGGGTAGGCAACTAAACCATAATGAGGTTTTAATATATAGCCTGTTCCACACTCAAGCGCACACCTAAAGCTTGCCACAAAGCACCAGCAAACGTAACGAGTTGATGGGAAAAATAGCAAGGAGATATTTTAATTATTTATTAATAAACTAGTGGTTTCTGAGTCAGTGTCCACTGCAAAGATGAAGTTAGTCTCCGCAGTACATTATTCCATTAACTTTCAAATTGCGAATTGAAAATACGCCTAATGGAAACAAGACAATTTCGCAAAAACGCCCATATATTGCAAAAGTTTTTACGCTCGCATGAGGTGGTTTTTCAGGCAATACGAAAAAGGAATAATTCGCAAAACTGCAATGGAAACGGCTTTTTTCGCATTTACAGGTCACATGGCGTATGTAAAAAGTCATATGATCATTCTTCAATGTACTATAACCTCCAAGAAACACTTCATACG